GGAATTTGGGGTCTTCATTCCTGTTTTCCATACATAGGTTAAAAGGTCTTAACAACTTGTTTCACAGAGTTCTATGTGGGGAGATGTGGAGTTGATATAATCACTGCTACATATAACCAGGGACCCAAAGCACTTTACAACTTCCCTGTCTGTGCCATGAAGAACAAATTGAAGCCTAAGAACACCAGAGAAGTTCCTTCGTTACTCTGAAGTTTTATCATCTATCAAAGGAAAAATACCAGGTTGAATCGGAGAATGGAAGTTACATAATTAATTGTACTTAAATATATTGTGATTGTTTTTGGACAGTCTATAGAGGCATAGAGCAAACTTTAACACCTGCAATTTACAAGGTAAGATTGATCACTATTCCAGCTTCTAAGGAGCCGTGAAACAAAAATCTAAAATCAAAAGAATGAAAGGTGACTCTAAATAACTCTGGTGTTATTTCTAGCATTTCTTCTTCAAAACACTCAGCATATCTTCATTTGTTTAAAATCTTCTCTTAACCAGGAGTTCCAGAACAAAACAGACGATATCTGTCTCATTCAGTTATATTCCCCCAGAATATGAGTAGCCAACCCACAGAACTATAGTAGGCAGAAAAATACTCCTGCTTTGATTATTAACTAGAATTATCCCCTTCTTTCCAGAGTCTTCATCCTACTAGAGAAATCTGGTGGGTGGGAAAAGAGGAAATCTAATAATTTATATTCTGGTGGGGGACTCTGGGCACAGCAATTATACCGTACAAGAAATATCCACCTGTAAATGAGGGCAGGTGGTTCTTTGAGTACTGTGTTTTTCATTTTTGTTTTTAAGATTTTGTTCATTTTCAGAGAGAGGAAAGGAGGGAAAAACAGGGAGAGAAACATCAATGTGGTAGAGCAACATTAATTGGTTGCCTCTAGCACACTACCAACAAGGAACCTGACCCACAGCCCAGGCATGTGAACCTTTCAGTTCACAGGCCGGCCCTCAACCCACTGAGCGACACCAACCAGGGGTGACTACTATGTTTTTAATTTATTGTTTGATAGTACAAAAACCCTTTCTCCAAAATAAATACATACATATGTACATGCATAAATCTTAGCCCTGACTGGTATGGTTGTTTGTTGGGCTTTGACCTACAAAGTGAAAGGTCACCAGTTGGAGTCCCAGTCAGGGCACATGCCTGAGTTGCAAGCCAGGTCCCTAGAAAGGGGCATGTGAGAGAGAACCAATCAATGTTTCTCTCCCTCTCTTCCCTTCTCTTTAAAAAATAAATAAAATCTTAAAAAAAAATCTTAGAGAGACCCTAGCATATAACACAGTTAAAAATAGAGTTACTGCCCCAGCTGGTAGCTCAGTTCACTAGGGTGTCATCACCATACAGAAGTTTCCAGGTTTCATCCCCAGTCAGGGCACGTATAAGAATCAACCAATAAATGGGTAAATAAGTGGAACAGCAGCAACAAAAAATGACCATTCTATCTCTCACTCTCACTAAGATCAATAAATTTAAAATAAAAATTTTAAGTTACTTTAGTTAAGAAAGAGAAGGAACTCAGAGCCTTTGCATCCTCAGCTTCTCCCTCTCACCAGGCACCTCCTGGGAACACTTAGGACACTGATTATCTCTAAAGTCTTGCCCAATTCTAAAATATAATGACTCTGTTGTACTTCAACTATAATTCTTTAAAGATTTTATTTATTTATTTATTTTAGAGAGGGGGGAAGGCAGAAAGTGAGGGAGCTAAACATTGATGTGTGAGAGACACACCCATCGGCTGCCTTTTGCTCGCACGCCAGTAGGAGACCAAGCCCTGCAACCCAGGTGTGTGCCCTGACTGGTGAATCAAACCAGTAACCTTTGGCTTTGCGGGAGGATGCTCAACCAACTAAGCCACGCTGGCCAGGGCAATAATTTCTTTTTTTTAAAAGAAAGAAAGAAAAAAAAAAAGAACCCTTCCAAAAAAATAAATACATACATAAAATGCAATGATTCTAACTTAAGTGTATATACTGAATGTCAACTATAACTGAAAAATATTTCAAGTTAAGTGTAAAACTCCACTAAAATGTACCTACCTGGTCTACAGGTCTGGATTTATAGTGGGTCAAACATAGCAATAAATGTTTTTTGTTTTTTTTTTTTAACCAAAATTCAAAGGCCAGAAAGCCAGTCTCCTAATCTTATCTTCTAGCCTCACCTCAACAGGGACTAGGCATAGCTCCTATGAAAAGCCAGGAACGGGCAAGGAGAACTGTGCTTCTCTGCACAGACAGTACAAGTGAGGATATGCTGTCAGTGAGCCCACATGAAACCTGCACTGAGGAGGACAACAGCACTGTTATAAAACAAAAATAGCCCTGGCTGGTGTGTCTCAGCAGACTGAGCACCAGCCTGAGAACCAGAGTTACTTGTTAGACTCCCAGTCTAGGGCACATGCCTGGGTTGTGGGCCAGGTCCCCAGTAGGGGGAGTGAGAGAGGCAACCACACACTGATGTTTCTCTTCCTCCATTCCCCTCTCTAAAAATACATACATACATACATACATACATACATACAGAAGGTCTTTAAAAAAATAAATAAATAATCACAGACTGAATTTGGGTATGGTAGAAAAGGCACCAATGTAGACCTGAGTTCACCATCTCTATCTCCAGCTAATTAGAACAATCCATTCAGTCTGTCTAAACATCAGGGTTTTTTTCATATAATGAATAAGAATTCTATGATGGTAAACTAACAACATGTTTTTAATAACATAAGAGGTTTTAAAACTATTACTTGGGTATTTGTTCTAACTTGAAAGAGGCTATCTTCAGCAATCAACACATGTGGCTCTAAACCAATATCCAACCAAAAAAGAAAACTTACTGAAATCATAAACTAAATTTCTACTATTCCTTTTTTTTTAAAGAACGGTTTTTATTTTTTTGTTGTTTTTTTTTTTTTAAGATTCTATTTATTTTTAGAGACAGGGGAAGGGAAGGAGAAAGAGAGTGAGAAAAAGATCAATGTGTGGTTGCCTCTCACTTGCCCCCTACTGAGGACCTGGCCTATAACCAGGCATGTGTCCTGACTGGGAATCAAACCAGAGACCCTTTGATTCTCAGGCCCACGCTCAATCCATTGAGCTATACCAGCCAGGGCTCTACTATTCTTTATTTCACAAGATTTATATTTCACAGCAGAGAGAGCAGCTCAACCACTTTGAAGTACTAAAGCCTCTAATCAAGGGAGGCATCATTAAAAACAATTCTCTCTCAGAAAGAAAAATGCAAATGGAAGCAAAACCAATGTGATCTCTATTCTCTCCTGGTGTTAGCTGCCTTGTTCGATGAATGCTATGTTCACCCTGCAGCCCAGGCTAACAAGGTCTGCAATGAATGTAGAGTCACAGCTGTCATGTTCACAGTACCATGTTGGATGTTGCCATTATCTGAACTTAAATAAAAACATGAGGCTAGAAACTTGTTTTTTTTAATCCACCAAACTCTAAGTGGGAAAAATTGGCCAGGCCTAGACAACCAATATTTCATTTTTCTTCAAAGTGGGGACATGAAACTTTTAAGTCACAATATGATCTCAAAGAATACACACTTCAAATGCACACATTTTTGCCCTGGCTGGTGTGGCTCAATGGACTGAGTGCTGGCCTGAGAACCAAAGGGTTGCCAGTTCGACTCCCTGTCAGGGCACATGCCTGGGTTGTGGGCCATCAATGTGTGAGAGGCAACTGCACATTGATGTTTCTCTCCCTCTCTTTCTCCTTCCCTTCCCATCTCTCTAAAAATAAATAAAATCTTAAAAAAGAAAAAAAAACCCCACACATTTTCTAGTCAAACCTGTAAGACATCTAACCTTTCTTTGCATCCACTATCCAGAATGTAAAAGAAAAATTTCAAATCCAGTAATATCAGAGACTGGTTCGAATAAATTCTAGCTTATTCTGTGGGCTAGTACTTGCACTTATACAAGGGGCAGCTCTTCCTTCTCAGTGTATGAACATGACCAAAGAAAACGAAACTCAGAGAAGAGTTCAGTTTACAAGAATACATGTTTGCCCCTTCTCAGCTAGTCTGTGCACATGGAACTTCAGCCTATGCTCAGAAAGCTGCTTGCTTACATTCAGTTATAGTATCAGCAGGCTCTGAAAGATGGGATGGCATGCCACTTCTGCACAAGCTTTTATGCTGAACTACTAACTCTGCATAACTCAGAAAGGGGGAGAGGGGGAAGAAGAGCAGGGAAAGAAGATGGGAAAGAGAGGAAGGAAAGAGCAAGCCATGAGTGCTAAAGAGAGAAATACGTAAAGGAATAAACACAATGCAGTAACTGGCCAGAGAAGACAGGCTATGAAAGATAACTATTTATCAGTAAAAGGCAGTAATTTATTCCTCAGGAGGAACTGGCTTTCTTACCTGCAAAATGCATTAAACAACAAAGACCAAGTAAACCTGCTGCTCCTTAGAATTACTAATCTTAGAAATGTATCTCTTTATATCTGTACTATGCTTTGCTTTTCCTCTTGAATTCTTACTTGAACACAATCAATGGATGATAAGGAACCCCATGCCCTGAAGTTAAAGCATTTTTCTGTGGGAAACTTAATGAGTGATAGGAACCACTTATTATACTCAAATTTCTGTGAGCCCACCTTATTTCAGACAATGATAAATGGAAAGAAACAGATTAGAGTGTAGACAAGAAAAAAATATTTTAGGTTAATTTCTGTGAATTCAGGTGGTGTTATTAAAGTAGTCAAAAGTACGTTTAGTAGATCAATCAGAACATTCAGTTATACAGTTTTAAGCTTACTCATTCCAAACCAGGTTTTCCATAAAAAAGAAAACCCAACTTTAAATGCCAAAATCAGTACTTAATGGTTCAACATCTACAACATCACAATGCTGGTGCTTGTATTCAGCATTCCTACAAAGCTCTAAGAGGTCTGAAAGGGAGACCCTGTAGCAGATCTCTTCTTTCTATATTTTGCACATTATGTACCTCCAAAGCCAAGGCTGTCTTGTCGTAGGCATTAGGGACTCGCTTCTGGATTACCCTGGCATAAATGGGCCCATTCTGGAGGTTAGGGAGCGGAGTGTTGACGCTGGGTTGGGCATAGGGCCCAGGCTCCGGCCCACCCAGTGGCTGTGGGTGGGAACCCTCCTGGTTACCTCCAATCAGAGCCGATACTGAGGCGGAGGCAGGTCTATACTTCTCCACGTAAGGGACTGGAATCATCCCCCTCTTGCCTTCGCTGTCCTCTGCATTCCACCACTGCTCTTCAGGCTTATCCCGGATTCTCAGGATGTCTCCTTTCTTAAAGGGAAGATCTTCTTCATCATTCCCATTAAAGTCAAAGAGGGCTCGCACATATTCTGCCTCCTCCTGCCTGAGAATCACTCCACTACCCTGCCTGGATCTGGAAACTGGTTCTATCAACGTTGTAGTGTCCAAATAGTGTATTTTGTAGAATTCCAGTAAAGCAGGCAATGAATCAAACTCTTGATCGCCTATTCGGAGTCTGGAGGTGCTCACCCCTGGAAAAAAATAGAGCAGGGTATTATTTAAAGAAGAATTACACTGGTGATAAAAACACAGGTTGTAAGCACTTCCCCCACACATTTAGTCAATATTTAATTAGGAGAAAAATCTGTCTAGAAAAAAATAACTTTCTCCTCATAGTAGACAAACCATATTTTGTAGTTGAAACATTCCCGGGAAGAAAGATGCCGATCACCGCCTGCAGCAGAGAAGGAGCAGAAGGCCACAACAGGCCAGGCCACTCAGGACATGCTCTCATGCTGGATCAACAACAGCAACACAGGAGATTCTGTTCACTCCCACAAAATGTGTTGTCGCTGTCTCATTTACACAGTAGCATAAGGTTCAAGGTTTTGTTGCAATCTTCTTTTCAACCTCGGGAAATGTAGCAAGCTCCTCTTTTTCACAGGTCCCAGCAGCTATTCCAGGAAGAGGGGGAAAGAACTTGGTATCTATCTACGCTAGGTTTATACATTCATTCTCTTCACATCTAGAATGTATTCTACAACTTGAAAGAAAAAGTTTTAAGACTTATTGCTGGTATTAATTTCATTTGTGACAACCAAAAAAAAAAAAAAAAAACTTAATTAGGCAAAAACCAAAACCCTGAGGAGCCTAAACAGAAACTAAGAAACTAACTACTTAAAAATCAATTCTTAAGGCCCTCACTTAAATAAAATATGGAAACTGGATTGCTCCTTTAGAAGCAAATGGGTCTCGGTCTCTCTCTCTCTCTCTGTCTCACACACACACACAGAAGGTAAACAAAGATGCTTGGGGAAAAAAATAAAGTATTAAAATCCTCAACCTCTGATGATACACTGAGGATCCGAAGCAAAGGACATACTAGGAATGCTTAAAATACTCATGATGCAGAGATGTGTGTGGCCCTAGACACAAGATATGCTTCAGATCCCTCTCTATCTTGAGTTCTAGAACTGAAAAATAATGAACACATATGGATTCAAGTAAGAAAGTTTTCTAATGAGGAATACAAACCTTTTACTTGCACTGTGCTAAGCTAAGCACCCAAAATATCAAATCATCTTTATTAGATTTTTTTACCTTTTGGTTTCCTGGTAAGTAAATGCTCTATAGAAAATTATTTCTTGATTTTTTTAAATTTCCCATATTCTTCAAGAACATGGCTTTGAATGGCTATGAAGTATTCCCACCTTATCATTAGTGAAATGAGGCAGTTATGACCATTTTTGTTCTTATCTATTAATTTTTTTATTACTTCCTTAGGATAATCTCCTTGAAATGTAACTGCGGGATCAAATGGTAAGAACATTAAGATTTATGTTGCCAAATTGCCCTCCAAAGTTTGTATACTTACTAACTCCCATCAGTGGTTTGTGAGTTCCCATTTCCCCCATGTTATCAAAACAGCATTTTAAAAATCAGCATTTTAAAAACTGCCCTGGCTGGTGTGGCTCAGTGGATTGGGCGCAGGCTGCGAACTAAAGGGTTGCCAGTTCGATTCCCTGTCAGGGTACAAGCCTAGGTTAGAGGCCAGATCCCCAGTGGTGGCCCGTGAGAGGTGGCCGAGAACTGTTTCTCTCCCTCTTTCTCCCTTCCTTCCCCTCTCTCTAAAAATAAATAAATAGCCCTGGCTGGTGTAGCTCAGTGGATTGAACGCCAGCCTGTGAACCAAAGGGTTGCTGGTTCAATTCCCAGTCAGGGCACATGCCTGGGTTGCAGGCCAGGTCCCCAGCAGGAGGCATGCAAGAAGCAACCACACATTCATGTTTCTTTCCCTTTCTTTCTCCTTCTCTCTAAAAGTAAATAAACAAAATCTAAAAAACAAAACAACAACAACAAAAAAAAACCTGCCCTGGCTGGTGTGGCTCGGTGGATTGAGTGCTGGCCTGATCCCTAGTTGAGGGCTTGCAGGAAGCAACCAATCAATGTATCTTGCATATTGCTGTTTCTCTCCCTTTCTTCCTCCTTCTTCCTTCAATAGTAAATAAATAAAATCTTTCTAAAAAATCACTGCCAGATTATTCAGAAATGTTATCTCTTTTGAAATATCATCTTTAGTTGTTTTTCACATTATTTGTACTTCTTTTGTAAAGGTTACTTGTTTAACTCCTTTTTTAAGGGAAAACAGCCAATATACCCTCTCCACTTGTATTTACACTGGCCCACCCATCCAAAAGCCATAGTGATTAATGCTATGAAATAGAAACACTGTAGTAGTCCAGATGTCTAAATTAATTTCCCACTCAAAAAACGAGACCAAATTATTTTGTTTAATGTTAGAAAACATTTCCTCCAGAATGACCAGAAAAACTACATTTAAAACTCTCTACTGGGGAGGGGTGAAAAGATAAGCTTTGCAAGTTAAACAAAAGTCCTCAGTTCAGAATGAGTACTGACGAGTGCCTTCTTTTTTCACCCAAATGAATGATGAGAGAGCCCTGGCTGGTGTAGCCCAGTAGACTGAGTGCGGGTCTGCAAACCAAAGAATGATGAGAGACCAAGACATGATTTAAAGGAGAATTGCACATTTCTTAAATTACAAAAGTCCATCTGTGGAATTCACAGCTGTAGGCTAAAACAAGTTAACAGCCCACACTCAGTAACGCTGGTTGTTTCTCCAACTTAAGATGATAAAATAGATGCCCAGACCTGGGACTGTCCATCTATGACAAACACTTAGGCACAAGCAGAACATAACCCCAATAGTTCCAAGTACAGGACTGGAAACAAGAACTTGGTTATGACCATAGCAGAGCATGGTGGTGCTATACTCTGGAATTTTTCATCACTGAAGTAGATCACCAATGAGAGATTACTGCTCTTCAAGTCTGGAAGGCGAGGAGATGCAACGGCCACCTTGCCTGTCACCAGTAAGGCAATTCATTGATTCTTTAGGCCAGCTGAGCTATGTTAAGGACAGGGTCAGTTGTGAGCTCCAAGGAGACCTATGTAGCACTGCTGGATGAAGAAAGGCTCTGGGGCTGAGTAGGAGGGAGAACCCTCACATCAGCAAAGAGCCATGCTTTAGAAAAATGATCCTGATAACACCTGGGGGGCAAAGCTCCCTTGCTAGAGTTCACCCAACTACATGCCAAGGGGCAACAACCAAATGGCTTTCACTAGTCATCTTTTTTGGACAGTGGCTGGCAGACAGTGAGTGCTCAGGAAGTGTTCAATGTTACTATTAATGAATACAACTCTAAATACAGGGAGAGTTAAATGAAAATCCATTCCCAGCTTTGAGCTCACAGCTTAGTTGGGAATACAAAGGCATACAAAGTGTGGTTGGTGAGCAAGAAGCAAAGTAGTATGTTTTAGGAAGACATCATTCCACCCCCGCTGCTGGCTTTCACTTTCAACTGGAGATATGTTCACACACACACACACACACACACACACACACACACACAGTATTGTAGCAACAACAAACCATGTTCTCAGATACAACAAAACCACAATGAAAAAACGGTTCTGACAATCCCTAAACTTTTGCAAGGTACCCTTTTAATTCTCAGAAAGAACACAACCACTCCGTCATCCATTGTTATGGCTCCATTACTGTACTAGTCCAAGTAAAAAAAATTGGGGGGGGGAGGGGCCATTTCGAACAAATAAGACCACTAAGCCAAGTCCCTTACCAAGATCAGTGTGAGAATTCTCAACACTGAAGCTCATCTGCCATAAAGGTAGGAAATTAGCTAAATTCATTTCTTGTTCAAATGCTTCATGGTGTAAACTGGGTCCATTATCATTTCCCCCCCAGCTTTGTGATCCCAATGGTCACAGAAATACAAGTTAAAACACCAAGGGAAGTCTTCAACATTACCTATAAATTCTTCATCTATTCTAATGGCACTATAATTCCACAGAGGAACACTTGTTTTTGTGTACTACTGGAACAATTAGATATATGGGGCGGTCAAGCTTTGTTGATCCAAATCCACAAAAAGGGATGGGAGGGAAAAGAATATACAAGTTCCAGATAAGCCCAAACTTCACCCCAACCATGTGTTCCAGGTCCTTTTCCCTAGTTCATTTCCTTCCACCCACAGAGAGCCAAAGGCAGGAAATGAAGGGCAGGAAAGGAAGCAGATAGGATAGTCAGTCAGTCTAGAGAACCGCACCAACAAAAGGGTTCTCATTGCTGGGATTTAGAAAATCTCACTGACTTGTTCTGCATCAAACTTGTGCTGGATTCTAAACATCCAGTTTAAACTAACACATTCAGAAATCACAATCAACGCAAGCAGCCCTGGCTGGCGTGGCTCAGTGGACTGAGTGCTGGTGTGTTCCATTCCCAGTCAGGGCACATGCCTGGGTTGTCGGCCAGGTCCCCAGTTGGGGAGTGTGCGAGAGGCAATCGATCGATGTTTCTCTTGCACGTCAATGTTTCTCTCCCTCTCTTTCTCCCTCCTCACCTCTCTAAAAATAAACAAATAAAATATTTTTAAAAAATCAATACAAGCAGTTGTTTTGGTTTCTGTACATGCTCATCTTATTACATTTCAGCATTTTAGCCCCTGGGTTACATCAGTCTTTACCCTACCACTCCCTCCAAGTTTTATGAACACACAAGAGTTCTGCAGCCTAGAACAGGCCAAGGCACTTCTGGCACGGACACCACTGCGACTGCTCCACTGCTAGCCTCTTCTTGATCTCACAGTAACTCCCTTTCCCCTTTCATTTCATTCCCACTCCCTCTCTCCCTTCTCCTCGGCCTATGCTAATTAGAGGTTGCTTAGATAAACACTCCCCACTGCCTGTCCAATACAAAGGGCTAAAAAGACCACTGACTTCCACTTGTAAGGGCACCCTAATGAGGTGTCAAGATATCCAGTCTCCTAAACAAATAGACAAACTGGTGGATATTAGCATGGTACTTTGTAGATGCAGACTGACTGGGTTTGGTGAATTCCTTGTCATTTACAAGCTGTATGAACCATTTTTTTTAATATCTCATGGGGCCAAATACCTACCTAATAAAGTTCCCAAAAGTAGCCAATATATTATA